GAGAGAGAGAGAGAGAGAGAGAGAGAGAGAGAGAGAGAGAGAGAGAGAGAGAGCAACAAAATAAATCTCACAAAATAACAAAGTAATAAAATTCTTTTAGGACAAACATTAAAAAGTTCGAAATATAAGATAGAAAAAAGATATGTTCCGATACAAAATGATACAATAAATAGTTTTGCATGTTATCGGCTTGATAAAAAACAAGAAACTTTTATTTATAATGGGCAATATTTTTGCCCACAGGTTATATTGTATACAAGAAATACATAAATTATCCACCATCTCAAATCGGAGCAGAACAATTTCATGGATTTGCACCGTGGAAGATACTAAGGTATTAATTAAGGTCAGCCATCTCTAATTTTAGAGTAGTTTAGAGGATTCATAAATATGCGGTCTGTGCTATAACTATTGCAGTTTTCATAATTATATTTGTGAGTTTTATTTAAAGCAGTATAGAGAGCTATGGTTTTATTTATATCTATGGTATTAATGCAAATTACACATGCATGATGTTTTATTATGTATTTTTCTTTTTTTTCAATAAAATTATTTTTTATTATACTTTCTTTAAAAATGTCTTTTGTAAAGGTTTAATTAAAATTAATTGTGTATAAACAATTTAATTTATTATACAATAAAATATAATTATACTTAATTTTTTATATATACTTTTAAAACATTATATTTTATTTTCTACATATGGTTATTATTACGTGTCCTTATTCTATTTTAAGATTATTGAAAGTAAAAGTTGTAAAAAAATAATTTTAATAAATCGCTTACAATTTTATTCTATTGTTTTATCACGTACTAATTTTTATTTTAATAACAAAAATTTTAATAACATATTAATTATCATTAAATGCATATTATATAATATTGCTGGACATTACATTTTAACAGAAATGTAACATTTTCATAAATATTATCTTATTATTTTACCATATTATTTGTTTACCTATCTATGTTTTCCTAAATTAGTTCTTGGTACCATATTAGGAACGAAGAATTGCAACTTTATTATTATGTAACTATAAAATGAATTTCTATGCTTAGTGTTTGGAACTTTATTTTTGTGTATAATTATAAGATATGATATATTATTATATTTAAAGTGATATATCTGAAATAATAATACCTTGGATAATATCTTATATAATAATATGTAATAATATAAGAATAAGATAATATGTAATTTTAACACATATAACAATCAACTACACATATATAAATAAGATGTTATCACTTACAGGTCCATCTCAGCCAGACGAAGATGATTATGGATATGTATCACAAGAAGCTGTTGCACTTTACGATCAGTTTATGAATAAATATAATAAACTACCTCCAGAGAAACCTATATTTAGCAACACTGAAAAAAGATCAATAAATGATATTGCATCTACAAAGGTATAATAATATTACACATGATTTATTTTAAGAAAATATTCTTTAATTTGCATAATACTAATTAAGTACTTTTTACAAAGTAGATACTTGGATAAATATCAATTAATGTAGAGCGTTTGACAATGTTTGTGTGCCGATAAAGTATATCAAGTTGGACAGGAAAATCCTCTATTTGTTTAGATTTAAAATATAGTTTCAAAAAATTCCAGAATCGCAATGAATGAGAGAAGTGTAGCACGTCATGCTTTGCAGGCTAAAAATTTATTTCCAAGGTTTCATCTAAGACATCTCGAATTTTTTTACAATCTTCTTTATTGTACTTGTTGACTGTCTTTTTAAAGCAATTATGGACATTGTATAACAGAGTAAGACAATATCGTTGCAAGCAATGAGCGACTTGATCTAGTATGATATGCGTGATTTTAGGAAATAAGTCCAAACTAAGACTTCAATATTCAATCGGATCTAACACTGTCCGGATACTCGATTATTCGGATAAATATGACACTTCAAATTCGGATTATCCGCGGATCAGCGTATCTTATGAGATATACGAACAGTTGAAACGTTGAATCTGAATCTAAGTTCTCGATGGAATCGGTCAAACACATCTCGACTAGCCATTTATCAAGCGCCGCGGTCGCGGTGCGACGCCGAGTACGTATAAACCACAAAATAACGCGACCGTGTAAGCTTATCTGAAATTTCTGGGTCAATTGGGCTTCCTAGTCAAATATCTTAAGCACGAAAACTATAATAGAAAATTTGATGAAAGTTTTCTTTTATGTTTAGCGCGCGCGTAATTTGCACCAAGTTTGATTAAGATTGGTGCAGGCAATACGGAGATCTCGAAATTTCGCTCGCGAAAAGTCCTTTTTATTTTCGCGCAGATTCTCAGATTTTTTCAGACACACGTACGCACGCACACGAATGAGTTTGTCCATCAAACCGCATTTGCATCGCCAAGCAATTCAGCTTTAGATCACACGTATACGCATGCACACAAGCGATGCGCGTTTGTCTGTCAGATTGCGTTTGTAATATATATAGGTTGCAATAAGCAGCATGTATCTATAATGATTGTCATTGATTCACGAATTTACGCTAGACTAGGGGAAAAGATTCATAATCGATAATTAGATGTACATATTAAGCTATATTTATAATTTCACGTACATTCTGCGCTTATGATGTCCGCAATCCGCATTGCAAACATGTAATCTGAATTTGAAATTAATTGGCGAGAAAGAAAAGATTTTCGTAGATGAAATATTATAAAGATTTCCGTATAAACTGGACCAATCAGAATGGACATGTATTATGTGCGCAATAAATATTAAATCTATCATGTATCTTTTTGTCTAGTGTAAATGCGTAAATAAAATAAAACAATTTCATTGATAAGTTTAATAAAGTTAAATGATGATTACGACTACGTTCCGATATTCACTACTAGTACTCAAGATCTATAGTTTGTGTCATGTACACGTATAGAGTTTTAGTACTGGTAAATATTGGAATGCAGTCTGCGAGTTCACATTAGAAGAAAAGATACATTACTACACGGAGGAAATTTTATAATAAAATATGCTACAAATACAGAGATTCAGTCAAATCATATTCTGTTACTTCAATTGCCAGAAAAGTTGAAAAAAATCATATAATTTACAAGAATTAATAGAATGTAATTTTAAAAGTTGGAAAAATAAAGAGAATGTGTGTATTCCTTGTGGACAAAATTTAGTAATTGAAAAAAAGAAATAATAATAACAAAAAATATCTTCATTTTAAAATTATTTAAAACTATCCTAATATAACAAAACACATTTAAAATCACAAATTTAAAAATTAAAGGTGTATCTACGTCGAAGATACATATAGGCACAGATATATATAAAATTATTAGTGCAATTTTCCACAATGATAAAAGTATAACTAATAGACATTATATAAATGTTGTGTGTAATACGCACACAAAATGGATTTTAATTAATGATTCATAAATGAATCCACAATAAAAAATACAGTTGGCCACGAAATTCCAAAAGTGCATACATTTTCTTTGCTGTAAAAATAATGTAAAAAGATTTGTACCTAAATAATCTAGGTAAATCTTTAGAAAAACGGACCCAGCAGCTATGACCTTGACCTTGACAAATATTGTAGAAGTCACCGTCCTGAGTAACTTTCAGAAGGTTTTAGCCGTCGCTCGTTGTTTATTAAAAAGTTATTAACAAAAAAGTTTGCATAAAATGAATGTAATTTTTGGACACCGTATATACAAAAACATTGAATTTCTAAGCTAAGAAGATGTCTGCTACACACACACGCACACACATATACACACACAACACACACACACATACATACAAACACACACACACTGCTTGGGCGCCTATGCGCTCGCCCGCCCGACAGGGCAGACTCGTGGTGGGTGCATATGTTGCTATTATATAATAAGTATATATACATATATACATATATATCCGCCCTGTCGAGCGGGTGAGCGCACGGGCGGCCAAGCAGTGTGTGTGTGTGTGTGTGTCCTTATTTACAATTATTCGTTACACATATGTTTTTGACTTTTCAGACAAACTTACAAGTAACTAATCTAGTATATAGCACATATATATCGCACTTCGACTTATTAACGGTACCACCGACGAGATACTATAAAAAACCGTCGGCCTTACGGGCTTTAGCGACCCCGAGAAATCTGACCGTACATTTTTATATTTTACCTTTTTCTTATATCCTATATTCTTACTGTTATTCTACTTACATCGTCTTGTCTCTTTCTACGTCTATCAATACGATTTTTTCTTTCTACGTCTGTCAATACGATTTCGGCACAATGCTCCGTCTAGTACTATATGTCGATGGTGTACTCTTACGAAAAAACCCTCAATTTTTGGTGTAAACACCCAAAAACTGGAGATAAACAACTAAATTTGAGTGTTAACACCCAAAATTGAGGAGTTTTTCGTAAGGATAGTCACATGGACAGACAGAAGCGTCTTTATGTGAAAAGCGGTCGGTATTGTCATCGTTCTTTAATTACCTCTGGGCCTCTCCGGGCCCTTTGGCCAGGTCGAAAATTTACCCAGGGCTGACAGTCTTTAGTAATATCTCGTCGGTGACGGTACACAGTATCGAAAAATTGTAATATATTTTTCAAATTTCTTTCATCAATGACTTTTTAATAGACAATGAGCGACGGCTAAAATCTTCTGAAGGTTACTTAGGAGGGTGACCTCTATCATATATATGAAGGTCAAGGTCATAGCTGGGTCTGTTTTTCTAAAGTTTTACCAAAGAACCAAATAAAAAATACTAATACAAAAAATACCAAACAAAAAAGATCAAAACAAACTATAAAACGAGAAGTACATGTTAACTTAATCAAAGTGCAGATGTTTTAAATTAATTTAATTCAAAAAAGAAGTGAGATCAATATAATTAACCAAGTATATACATGTGTATATTTATTATATCTGTAATATTTATTATACAAGTAATTGTGTGATGTTATAATGTTTAGATATTTTAAATAAAAAAAATTTTTTTTAATCAATTATGTCTTATGTCAATGTCTTATAATTATTTGTTGTTTTCTATATCTATAGTTAGGGCACATCATCCCTAGTAGCATATATTGATTTCACATACGTTTTCTATTAGATGTGCAACTAAGTTCCCGCTGTTTGTCAATAGATGGCTCCAGCAGTAAGTGCTGGTCGATTTTGACATATCCAAAACGTCATGAACCAAGCTTAGACATATGGTAAACAAACCGCTTTGACACGTTAGTGATTTTGTTTTGGCATCATATACTTTTGGTTGTGTGAAAATGTCTGATTTTGTGCCGAATAATCGTCATTTGCGGGAAGTGTTGATTTTCTTATTTCATTCGAAGAAAATGGCGGCTGAAGCGCATCGAGAGCTCCAAAAAGTTTACGGAGATGCTGCTCTAAGTGAAACAACGTGCCGTGATTGGTTTCGTCACTTCAAAGACGGTGATTTCGATGTTGACGACCGTCCGCGTGAAGGAAGGCCAAAAACCTTCGAAGACGCTGAATTGGAGGCATTGCTCGATGAGGATCCGTGCCAAACGCAAGAACAGCTTGCTTCAGCATTAGGAGTTACCCGCCAAGCCATTTCCAAGCGATTGCATGCGTTGGGAATGATTCAAAAGCAAGGAACTTGGGTTCCTTATGATTTGAAGCCAAGGGACGTTGAGCGTCGTTTTTTCGCCTGTGAACAACTGCTCCAGCGGCAAAAAAGGAAGGGTTTTCTTCATCGCATCGTGACGGGTGATGAAAAATGGATTCATTACAGCAACCCAAAGAAAAGAAAGTCATGGGGACTGCCCGGTCATGCTTCTACGTCGTCGGCTCGGCCGAATATTCACGCTGCGAAGGTTATGCTGTGTATTTGGTGGGACCAGGTCGGTGTTATTTATTATGAGCTGTTGAAACCGAACGAAACCATCACTGGGGAACGGTATCGAATTCAATTGATGCGATTGAGCCGAGCACTGCGCGAAAAACGGCCACAATACGAGCAGAGGCACGAAAAAGTGATTCTACTGCATGATAACGCTCGGCCTCATGTTGCCAAACCCGTTAAAACCTACTTGGAAACGTTCAAAT